TTATTCTACTTAAAAAAATCTGCTTTTTATGGCACGTCTAATTCAATCGCCGGTTAACAAACAAAGCTGCCAATGGAAATCGCAAATCTCTCGGACACCTCATTTTGTTTTGTGTTGGCGTTGGCTGGCAGCAAAGCAAAAAGTTAATTAAACAGATCCCAAGTGCTGACCACTCAAGTGAGTTGTGGAGTGCGAGGGGCGGCCTGTCTATGGGTATTAGGCTTTATCAGATGTGCATTCATTCAAATGCACTTCCTTTGGCCGCTCACTCAACGTCGACTTCCCGTTAGCACGCGGGCAACTTGGCCAAGACAGTCCGGACTGGATCGGTCCGGGCTGTCCATCAGATACGCATCAGTGGCACAACTCAAGCAACTGCACACCGAAAAAAATATGTGAAACTATTATTAAGCTAACTTTATAGTAGAATGCAATAATCAAATATGCTATATATTAACATAGGCAATTAACATATATTGTTTTTTTTTTATATTAAAAATTATAAAATGGAAAACTTTAAATATATACCTTAATAAGAGACTACAACATTTTAATATTTATATTCAAAAATTCATTGTCATTTAAAAGATTTACCTATTATGTCGCCAAGGTTAGCAATTATGGAAAACAGGTATATTGATATTTAAATTTAAATACTTGTATAACTACTTTTGGTCTTAATGTTCAGTTTGAAATTTATTAAATAATTTATTCTAATCTAAAGACTTGGTCTCTGCTCTTAATAGAAAAATTATTAGGTATACTTTTTTATAATTTTTTTTAAGATAATTTTGATGAAATTAAATTACTCTTATAAATATAAATTACTCTATTTACTTAGTCTTCCTGATCAAAGCATTAATATTCCCTGTTAAAGATGACTGACTGGTAAAATAATGCAGGCCTATGCGATATTTTTGCCAGTAACTCCCTGTCATACGTGCATTAACTGGGGAACCGAACTACCCACTGAATTTAGAAGGCAACTAGCTGGAGCAGCTCCGCCATGAGGAAATGGGGAAATGCTTTTCCAGCGCGGCGACAGCTGCGTGGCTAATCCGACAGGCTAAACAGTTGAGCAGTTGCCCCCCGGGGAGAGGTGCAGCAAAAAAAAAAAAGAAAAGAAAAGAAAAGAAAAAAAGGAAAAAGGAACGAGGAACGAGGAAAGAAAAGCATTGTGCGCTGCATAATTGAAAAAAAGCGGGGGGCGCAAAAACATTGTCAGATAAACACCGAGTGGAAATGGGGGTGGTGGTGCGGTGGTGCGGTGGTGCCAGGGCAATTGCAAAAATAACAAAAGACAATGGCAGAGTGGCGACGTCCCGACGTGATGTTGGAAATTGAATAAAAATATGTATTTTTACTTATAAGTATTCCATATAGCCAACGTCAACAGCAATTTCCACCAAAGTGCACGCAACGACAAACGGTTGCTGCAGCAACAACAACAGCCGCAGCAGCAGCAGCAGCAACATCAACAAACATCTACTGCAGTAACACCTTCAAAGTTGATTGATAAAAAAAAAAGTGTTTGACTGTAAGTAAAATGCTGAGCTCCCCTAATGGAGCGGTGTTGCTGAAAGAGGAGGGGGTGGAAATACGAGGGGGGGGCTAGTGCCTGACGTATCGAGTTTCTGCTCTAATGTGACAGCTCAATGCATTTTAGATGGCAATGACAAACTGAATTGGCAACAACAATAATGCTAGAAGCAGCAGGAACAGAAATTGCAATTTATATATATTTCTCAGCGGAAACAGTGATGCTGGAAAGTTGTCGACCGGATTTCGATATTCAGCAAAGTTAGCTTCGTATAATACTGTAAATCAGTAATTATAATGCCAACAAAAAAATGTCCTTCTTTAATAATAGTATAACCTGAAATCTGAATTGAGATTATTGGCTAGGACAGTACAAATATATATGTATGTAATAAAAATAAAAAATGGCGCTTATCATCTTCATTTAAAACACCATAAGGGATTTACCTATTTTTTCGCGAAAGTTTATTTGTAAGCTTTTACGGTTGTTGTAAACAGTTTAATAAAATTTACAAAATAAACTAATATATTTTTCCCAATTTTTGCAAACTGACTTTTCTGCGCCGGTGTAATGCTATATCGTCCATTCGCACTCAATCGCACAATCACATTTTGAGGTAGCGAAATGGGGAGAACGAATACTCGTACCGTCGAGAGTCATAACGTAATAAGGAACCTGAACGGGAGCGGATGGAAAGCGGGTGAAAAGGCGGGCTGGAAAAGAAGAAAAACAGGCAACGCAACCGAAACTGCAACTGAAATGCTGCGCAAACAACTTTGAACGTCAATTTGTCAACTTGAAGCGAGAATTGAATGCAAAAAGCTTTGCGCCACATCGCTGACGTCGAGTCGTTTGCCCTGACGCAGTCCGAACCAATTTTGGATGGGGTCTAATGTGCTGCAGTCACGCTGCACGCCGTGTTATTTTTGTGGATTTTAATGGCGATTAATCACACTACTTTGGCCCGGATGCAATCGCCTTAGCGCATAAGACGAATAAAAAACGTGATATATTTTAAGACAAGTGAATATGTATATATACATATATATACTTTTACATTTTGTAACAAAAAACTTTAAAGCTTAAGCAAACATTTAATAAAAGTTAATTAATCCACAAATGAAATTCTCCCTAGTGCAGAGAAAAATTTTTCATTAAAATAATAATTGTCTTTTAAAAAAGAAAACATCGTAAACTTTATCACAAATATTGTGCCGGCTTTAGGAAAACTTTAATTAATTATTATTTGCCAAATAGCCTTTAGCTAAGTAAATTTTGACTTAATTAATTGAGGTGTAGGGTACTTAGCTGTCTATAGAACCGGTTGTTAGCCGAGGTGCATGGAAATGTCAGCTCAATACCGTTATCGTAGGTGCGGCAAACACGTCTCTGCGACTTCGGCGCCGACTGCAACGTCGACTGCGGCAGCGACGCAGCTTGATAATGAGCCGTTAAGACGGACAGACAGGAGAAGAAGACGTAAAAGCTTCCGCAATTCAAAACAGCTGTAGGAGAAAGAGAGAGGGAGTGATTGTGCAAGGCGAAATGCAAAACTGATAAGAAAGTCCGCTTAAGTTGCTCTAATTATGTGTGAGACATTGAAATTCGACGAAATCATACAAAAGATTCGCACGTGGTTTAGGACACGCAATGTGAGCGAAAAGAAGATACATTTGTATGGTTGTATGAATGTACAAATGTATGTATACATATATCATATGCGGGGGAGAAGCAAAAAGAGAGAGTGCAGGCGAATGCAAATCCAAAATGCTGCCTACGTGAGCGACAGCTCACTTAATACCTCTCCTTTACTCACTCCACCCTCTCGCTCACACCTTTCGATCAACAGCAAGAAAGGGAAATTTAATTTGGAGATCGAAAAACTGAATACTCTGTCCTATTAACTGGCTTTCTTTTGCAAAAAATTCAGAAATTTAAAATCCCTTATAAGCCTGTTAAAATGTATGCTACAGTTTCTATTTTAACACGTATACGTGATATTATTAAGTATAACATTTTTTAAATAGTTCGCCATAAATATGGATTAAACAGGACTCTTTGCTAAAATGATTAATATGAATAAACAAATTTGAAATCGTTTGTGGAACATATTATATTGGACAATGTATCCTTCTAGGTCTTGGAAAAAACATTAATTATCACATAGAATGGTATTCATTTAGTCACAAATCATTTTGCTGATAATATTGTGTAATATTTTGATCCGTGTGGTGTTTTTATTATAATGGTAATATTGTTTTTTATGTTTTCATATTAAAATGGTAATAACATAGCATTGTAAAATAAAAGTTAATGTTCTTTCTAAAAAATTTTTAAGAAACTATACGATGATACCTTAATCCCAAATACTCCTTTATAAGAGTATAGTGAAACAGAATATCAGAAAGACAAATATGAAAACGTCCAAATTCTCCGTGAAATGCAATTCCTTTTTCGATTCTTTTTCTGTTGTTTTGCTGACTTGCTAAATTTGTTACCGTGTTTTTGAGTTTTCTGTTGTTGTTTTTATTATTATTATTTTTTGCTTTGTCCAACGGCAGCAATAATAACAACAGCAACAACGACAGTGGCAACGATAACAACTTCTCAGCCGTGCTGATGAGAGAAGTGCGCGAGAGAGGGATAGGGCAAGTGAGAAGAACAGGCAGCAACAATATTTACAGCTTTAGGCCAAAAGCACAGTGGGACAAACATTAATTTATGATAAAATGTACCCCAAAAGCAAAAATAAAAAAGGAACTGCAAATTTGAAATGTATGCAGATGTACTCTAACAATGGTTTGATTTTTATTTTTCGAGTCGATATGATTGATTAGAGAAATAAAAAAACATACTTTTTGCAAGGAATAATTTTTTAACATATTTTTTTATTGTCAATAAGTTTAGGGCTTAAGATTGTATTGAACAACGGTTTGGTAACCATCTTAAAGCCATCTTACGATGCTTTCAATTTTTTTTTATCATGCATTTAATTAGAATATCAATATTTAATTTTTATTAAATATAACGAACTATAAGTACTTTCCGTCAAATTAATTTTATTATCCCCACGACTTTACAACTTGCAACAACTGAATGGCCTTCGCCACACTGTGACATGTGTCGCTATTTAAAAATAGGATTTTGCAGTGGTGTCGGTGTGTGTGCTCGTTGGTTTCCAGCATCTCACGGTCGCCGCCGTTTGGCAGCCGCTGCCACATGCGCAGAGCGAACGGATCGGACCCACTGTGCAACGTGGGGCTTTTGACGACAGCAGCAGGCAGTCGCAGCAGCAGCAGCAGCAACGATCGCAAGTCGCGACACGAGCAAAGCGAACGGAAAGGTGTGCGGACCAAGGGGGCGGGGGAGCGAAGAGCAAGTGACGAACTTACGGCCAACAGCAGCAGCAGCAGCAACAACAACAACGGCAACCGGCCCGTTTGGAGCAGCGCGCATGCCACACACAGTTTAAATATGTGAAATTAGTACAAATCGTGATTTCAACAGCGAACGACGAGCGGCGAACGAGCGTCGACGAAGTGGCGACAAAAAAAAAAGCTCGAGCGAGCAGCAACAACAACAGCAGCGAAGCAATAGCCACAAGCAACAACAGTGGCAGCCACAGCCACAACAAGCTACCCCACAATACCTACAGCAATCACTTGTCCAACACAAAGAGAAGCAGCGATATCAACAGATGCCACAACAGCAACACTGAGAGCAACTCCTAAGCCCACAAATGAAACAACAACAAGACGCACAACAGCTCCAACTATTGAAACATACGCTATAACTATTACACCTGCACCTATCACAACAACAAAATCAACAGGTACTTAAAGCAAAAAACACCAACAAAAAATTCAACAACCTATTCAACAATAGTCCAACACCTACACCAGTTAAGCCACAACACGTGGTGTAAATCAATAAATACAAAAAAAATATAAAACCTACAACAACAACAGATCAAACTAATGCAACACCAAAACTTACAGCAACAACATAAAACACACCAATAACAATCACCAACACCAAACATAGTTAAGCCAACTAAAATAGCAGTACACACTCCAACAAAATAAGTAACAACAACCAGAACACCAACGAATTCAACAACCATTTAAAACCAATATTTACAACAACCAACATTGATGTACGTTGGTGTGAGTTGCTCGAGTGGCAGCAACAACAACATGCAATAAAACAGCTGATAGCTGATAGCCACAACAACAACAAAGCCTGGCATTATCAAGCGAGCAACAGGTCGCGAAAAAAAAAGCCCGCCTGCTGCAGCACTCACACCACACACACACACGCAGACACACACACAGAGAGAAGAGCGGGTGTATGTGAGAGAGAGAGGCAAAAGGCGAGTCGCACACCTTTACATTGATTTTGGACGAGGCGACGTCGCTCGCAGGCTGGCGCTCTCGCTACCTCTCCCTCTCCCAGTCCCTGGCCCACCGTCTCTCCTTCTCTCTCTCTCGCACAAAGTGCAGCTGAGCTGCCGCCGCTGCCGCCGCCGCACTTGCCGCTGCCACAAATACAACACGACCAGCTGAAACGCTCAACGCTCGCCGCCGCCGCTGCTGCCGCCAGTCGAAAGTCAAAAGCAACGTGTTGTGGACGCTTTTTTCGTCGCGTCGTTGCGTTGCGTTCTCTCGCTCTCTCTCACTCCTACTCCTATCACCTATACACCACCCACTCAACCACCCGCAACCCGCCACCAACCGACACCACCCGCCACCTCCCCCTTCGGTCGGGATAACTTTCACCATACACCAACAACAACAACAATGTCCAGCAGCGCAGCCGCAGCGCAATTCAAGCTCGATGCCAACTCCAATGCCATTGCTTTAATAGCCGATGTTGCCTCGCTGCCGCTGGCACTTCCCCTCTCGCCCACGTCCACGACCACGCCCACTGCAACGGGAGCGTCAGCAACGGCAACAGCAACAGCAACGCCAGCGGATCGCGTTGAATGGTCCCGCTCCACGATCCTCAACTTTATCGAGGACTATCGCCGGCAGCGAGTCCTTTGGGATCCCAACACGAAGGGCTACCACATCAAGCAGACCAAATACGAGGCCCTCAAACTCTTGAGCCACAAATATGGAACGGAAATAAGATCAATACGATCCAAAATCAAGTCCCTGCGCAGCTCATTCCATCGGGAACATGGCAAGGTCCTGAGCGGACGCAGTCGCGGAGTTATCTACCAGCCCATGTGGTTTGCCTACGAAGCCATACGCTTTATCCTCGACGGCGAACGGGATCAGGATCAGGTGGGTCAGGATCAAGATCCAGATGGCGAGGCGGATACGGAAGCGGATGAAAAGCTAACCCTGATGCACAGCCTGGACTTGGAGCAACTGAAGGCGGACAAGCTGGTGGACCGGGACATCATCATGCAGGTGGAACAGCAGCAGCAGCAGCAACACGATGAGCTTACCGCTCGGATTGCGGCCACTGTGGCCGCCGTTGCCGCTGCTGCGGCCGCTGCAAATGCCCGGGATCGGGAGCGGGACGGGGATACCGCTGGCAGTGATATGATGGACCCCGCTCGGGAAATGGAACTCGAGGAGGCGGCGGCCGGTGGCGCCTTAATCGAATCCTCCTCGGCGGCTGTGGTAAGTGGTGCTGTAGCTACTTTTTTTTTATTTTTGTAGCCAACCTCTACCTATTTTGCATGTGTCTCTTTGATTTTTTTTCTTTCCTTCTTTGCCCCCCCTTTGCTTTTTTCTCTTCTGTCGTACATATTTCTTTGGAGCTTTGCATGTGCGCGCGTGTGAGTGCGAGTGGTTTGACTTGTTTTACGGCAGCAGCCAGCACACGCGCTGCTGTTGCCGCCGTCGCAGCCCTCGCTGTCTAGCGGTTCGTCAACGGCAGCGGCGCAACCGGTGGCGCACAGTGGGGCCAGTCACCATCAGGTGTCATAGAGTTTTCTAAGTTATTAAACATTTTAAAGACCCTCTAGAAATATACGTACAGTGCTCTCTCAAATCACTAAACCTACAAACATCAAGGGAATTTATAATAACAATTAACATAATATACGTACTTTTTTTGATTAAAAAACATACAAACATATGTTTATTATTTTAGTAACGAAAAATAATATATTAATTTTTTACTTATTCAGTCTTTAAAATTTATTCTTCATTGGGTCACTGGGACAACATGCCGTATGAGTAATTTTTTCTAATAAACCGTTTTTTAATTTAAATATGTATGTTTTACAATAATTAAATGTAAAAAAAGGTTTGTTTTTAGTATAGGTGTGTATGTACATGCATTAATTAATCGCAAAAAGATTTCAATGATTAGCGAAGATTTTTTAAATTCACTGGGCCCACGTGGCGTATGAGTAATATATTAGAGCGGTTTTTTGCATATACAAAAACACGAAATGTAAATTTTTTCAAAATGCTTTTCAGAAATGTTTTCTTATATTTATTATGCGTTAAATCAGTACATACACTATAGGAAAATAAATCAAATATATAATGTATTTATATAATTAAATTGAAAACAAAATATTTGTACTTAAAACTAATTTTTTTAGATGTTACTTCCAGCATAACATAGACTAGGCCCACTGTGCGCGGTAGCTGCTATTGCGTTGCGCTTGATAAGCGAGTATTGGTGTTAGTGTGCCAATGTATGTGTCAACTGGCTTTGATTTGCGCTGCCGCTTCTGCCATACATACATATGTACCTACATACCTATATCTATAATGCATGCACATGTGTGTTGCATCAGCCGTAGAAATCGGCAGCCACACGTTTTGCACCGACCACGCCCCTCGGCCCCGCATCGATGCTCTGCCGCCCCCGAGCAGCAGTAGCTCCAATATAGCAAGTTGCTGGACTGCGTTTCGTTATTGCCATGTCGCCTCGTCCGTTTGTTCGGTTTCATATATTTGATTCTCTCCCGAAAAAAGTACGACTCTTTTGGGCAGAAGCTCGACCACCAGTAATCGGGTGACTTTAACTGCAAAGCGAGCTTTCTCTGAAGCTTTAAAGAAATGCGCGCATATATGCCCACCAGCTAGTTCGATCGGCTTCCCGGAAATATTTTAATATATATGTAATTAAAAGCCAAATAATAAATGCAGGGAGTGTTATGTTTATTTCTGTAAATTCACATCACAAAAAGTGTGATAGAAAACCTTGACCACCAAAGTCAAATTGTTTTTGTGTAATGTAAGTTGTTTTTTAATTACAACACATATCTATTTTTTTTTTTTTGTAATTCAAATTCGGCTTACCAACTATAGAAAGTGCAATTATTTATTGCTGTATCATAAAACATTATCAATCTTTTTGTAAGTTAAGGAGAACTTAGTTTATTTAATTGAAGCATAAAATTTCTCTGCGCTATTTTTTGGCGTTTTTTATTTCAATTTATAAAGGCATTGATTTTTGAAAGCGGTACACATAAGTAAAAAGAAAATAACGTACTTTGGAAATTCATATACTCTTGATATGACTAAATATTTCGGTTATACCCATTCTTTCTTGGTTAGAGAAATAAGTACCACAAGGTAAAAAAATATAAGTATATTATACGACAGTTATTTACAAAGGTAATACAACTCAAAAGCAGAATAGTCAAAAGTTTTTTTTTAAATTCTTGTAAGGGTATTCACTCGTCGTTGCCTGAAATAATTCTCCCAAATCGTGTGTTATTTATCGTCTGTATTCTTTTTTTTTGGTCACTCGTCTCATGTCCGTCTGTAAGTCTGTCCACCCGTTGGTCCACTTCGATGTTGACTTGGCTGCTGTCCCGCCTGTACCGCACCCTGTACCGCTACCGCCCCCGACCCCGCGCCTCAGCCACCTTGTCCCGCCGTGACTAATTTAATCGCCAGCGGCTCGACTTGCGAGTCTGCTCCCACTTGTGTGTGTGTTTGAGTTTGCATTTTATTATTATTATTCTAATTTGTTTTCTATTTCTCTGGCGTTTCTCGCTTTGCGTCTGACCACTATTATTATTATTTCGTTGTTTTTTGTTATTGTTTGTCTGGCAAATTCGCCACACTGCCGTAATAGTATTTGTTATTGATTCTACCGTCTCCGCTAATTCTGGATTTTTTGTTCGATCTTCGCAGACACGTTCCTCTTCCGATTTGGATGGCGAGAATTACTGCAATATCAGCGCCGAAGATGTGAAAACAGAAATTGTAAGTACTCCGCCGCTGATTGTTAATGGCACTTTAATTGATTCGACAGGTTGAAGTTTATTTTTTGGGGGGATAATTTAACAAATTTTTTTATCTCAACCCCTGAAGTGTCATGTCAAGTGGTCTGTGGGTGTAATTAGAGAATAATTTTTGACACGAGATTGAGAAACACAATTTTGAATAATGTATTTTGAATGAGTAGAAATATCAATCATTATCTGGAGTACCGAAATTAATTATTTAATAATAATTATATAAGCAAGTTTTATACAAAAGTCAAATAATTCATTTAAATATGGTAATTTTTGTTATTTTTATTAGCCCACTTGTTGAGTAGTCATTCATTTAATAGTAAAATAAGAGAAAAGTTTGGTTTAGATTTGTTTTGTTATATATTTTGTAAATTATTAGCTTAGAATGTTTGTTTAGAAGTACTTTTTTTTATTAGTTTGTCCATCTTGATTTACTTACATTTTAAATCTGGTTAAGTTATTTCCACGTGTAAACGGTTTCAGTCCCAATGATGTAATTAGTTGGCCAGGTATTTAAGATTCTGTCACCTTTCTTATTTTTCTGATTACAAGCTCAAATCAAGTAATGTGATTAGATAATTCTACTAATTTGATAAGGGCAATAGTGTATTGAATTCTGTAACTACCTTAATTCGATGACGAATCTAATCATTTTATGACGTCCACACCATGCACATTGACCGTTGAAACTTTTTAATTCCTGAAGGTCAATGGTGTTGCCAGGGCAGATATGATACATCCGGATATCTCTAATGATAAGCAATGGGAATCAAATAAATGTATGTGAGTCACTTGGACTTTTTGATTCAATAAATTTGTATTTTATGCCCCGAAGTCAATGTCTTTCAAAATAATCATTTATAAATTATAATTTGTAAAATTGTTTACTCCTCAAAATAGCCTTATTTAGAAAGCTCTCACTTCTGATATTTTCCCAGACAAGGTTGTGCCCACAAATTAATCAAATGACTCGTCTCGTGGGGCTTATCAAAGTACCCACCTCTCTTCCTTTAAACACTTGGCAAACACAAGTATAGAATTGTTTATATTATTAGTATACAAAGCGATGCGCGTCTACTGAATAGTTGATGAAACAACACAGCGATTATTTCGTCAGACGTTCATACTATAAATATATATGTAAAACTGGTTCCGGTATATTGTGACGGGCCCATCTTTAAGCAAAATAACAAAATAGGGCTGATGAAATACTGAACAGATTTACTTTAGTTGGGAAAAAGGCTCATCCTTAGCAACCTTGTTAACAATAATTGGGTAATTTCAATGTCAAAGTTTTCCTGAAAAAAACAGGTCACAACAATTTAAAAAGTAAAACTCTTCATATTAATTTACTTTAACATGCTCATTTTTAAATGCTTAAAATTGCTTTCTGTATATTAATAAATTAAGAAATAATGAAAACTAATTTCTTATGAATTTTCTTTGTCTGTTTTCATTTTATTTATGTTTTTACCTATTGACGGTTTTTTTGGAATGTCCCATACTTAGAAATGTATATTAGAAACAGTTTCGTTTTTGTCTTGTAGGGTAATAAACAAAATTATTAGCTACAGTGTCTAAAACAAATCCGTATTTTCGCCTGTTTTCTTTTTTATGCTTAACCCCAACAGATCGAACACGAATCGGAGCTGGGGATGCTGGATCGACGGACGAGCACGCCGTCGCCCATAAATTACTACAAGCCGACGGATCTAACGTACAACCACCGCAAGCGCAAGGCGATGGGCGTGGAGCACGTTGTGGGCGCTTTGACATTGACGCCCATCAAGGCGGTGGGCGGAGCGGCGGGGTCGGGGACGGGATCGGGCGGATCCGCCGGCCAGCAGCAGCTCGCGTTTCAGGCGCTCCAGCAGCACTTTAACCACAATCATAGTCTCAGCCTGAGCCATTGCAACGGGCAACCGCACAACCACCAACACCAACAGCATCAGCAGCAGCAACAATCGTTGCATCTGCAGCAGCAGCAGCAGCAACAGCAACAACATTCCAGTAACATGGCACACAAACGTGATCGTGATCGTGATCTCTCAACGTCAAATGGCAACAGCAACACTAACTGCAACAACAACAACAGCAACAACAACAACAACAACAGCAGCAGCCACAACGCCAGCAACATTTCGATGGACCCAACAGCAACATCCAGCAATTGCAGCTCGAGCAGCAACAGCGGTGCCACGCCCCCCAAACTGCTCATCGGGGGTGGTGGTCTGAGTGTCAATCATGTGGACGAATATGGGGTATTCGGGGAATACGTGGCCATTACCATACGCAAACTGAAGACATCCAAATCGAAGATAGTGGTGAAGCATCTGATCAACAATCTCCTTTACGAAGCCGAGCTGGGTAAATATGATCATGGGATGCCGGCCAGCAAGGAACCACCGCAGCTGTACAATATGCAATAAAACTAGAGAATACCAGGGTCAGGGGTCAGGATTCGATAATAGATAAGTCCGCCAATACATCTATAAAGAGAAACTAAACGGGGGAGAGACAACGCACTAGTCAGCAAAGCAACAATGGGTCAAAACCAGAGCCAACAATTCTAAAAACCGGGGTTTTTATAGTATCACGGGGTAGCGGGGGACATGAGCATTTCATTCAGGGACAAAGACCATATAAGTACTTTATCTATATACATTTATAAACACATAAACGATATCAGTGAGTATATCCGAAGTCAGTCATTCAAAGGAGTGCAGTTGAAGTAGGGGGTGAAACAAACATACCATTAATTAAATTGAATTAATTATAAATGCTTTACGTTAAATGTGTACTTTTATGAACACACACACACACACCCATAAACACATACGCATATGTATGTATTCTACGTTTATAAATATATTTTTATGATGATCGTTTTTTTAATTTCACCAGCGTTATATTTTTGATTTTCGTTTTATTATATTTACATTTGGCAATAACACTTTGAACTCAGGTGCCTTTATTTTTTTAGTCATTTAAGCCTTGTTATCTTATGCATAAACGCGAAACGGCAAACAAACGCGCAAATGATTGCAAAAAATCGACATGTAAAGCAAATAAATGAAGCCGTAACAACATGTAAATTTAATTAACTTTTTATCACATATGCAAATCCATATGTATAAACTTAACTCTGTAAATAGTCTAAAAAAAATGAGAAGCGAGAATAATGAAACATGAAATGTGCAAATCTTAATTTTTGTTATGCATAACTAATTTGAATCGAGCGAAGGGCTCCAAATAAAAATGCAGAAATGTTGAATTTCATTTTGAAAATGACTCAATTGACTTTTATTAACCTTAAGGGAAATGTGTTGAGGTTGGTAATGAATTTATTATACATTTCTGAAATTTTCAAAATCAAAGCTATTTAAAAGGATTACAAGGCTACATTTATGGGATATTTAGAACTCTGCTTCAAACTGTTGCCACATTATCGGTCACCAATAAAATCAAAGTAATGGGTAACTTCTGATGATCCAATTTATTGCGCATTATAAATATATATCTATCAATCCTTGAGAATTAAGTCATGAAAAGGGTTCGATTGTGCGCCCCGGTATTGCCTAATTATTCCGACTTTCAGAGCTATTGAGCAAGTTACCGGCCAGAACAATGTAGCTCGTTGTTCGCCTTCGGTGCGATTATTCATATTCATACTCGTGTATTCACATTCACACTCACATACTCGCCGAGGGCCTCGTCCATAAATCACAAACGCTCTCAACTGTATCAAAGAACTAGGCAATTCGAAGGAGGGGCAACAAGGCAAGCATTAATTGCTAAATAAACAATTAAAAAAATACAGAAAAAAAGATAATAATTAATTTATCTTTTATGGATTGCCCTATGAAAATTTTCACTTTTTTAGGGCATTTTGTTTACGCTGAGTTCTATAGCCTCGAATTAATGATAATATCCAAATGAATTCTTTGAAATACTTATTATTAATGATAGTTCTTGATGGAATACACTTCCGATCTTTCGATTGTCTTGTTTGTTTAGTTTAGCCAAGAAAGCTACTTTTCATTGGGTTTTAAGGTTGAATTTTATCATAAGGTAACAATGACGCAACTTTAGCCGTAATTTCATACCCATTAAGCCAATATTTATTAATTCATATTTAACAACATTTAAATCCTGCTAAAATTTGGATATGTATAAATAGAGGTGACTGTGGAAATCTGAATACAAAGTTAAATGACTAATACTGTTAGTACTATTTTATTTGTATTTTATTAATATTTATTTGTTATGAACAAATATACTTTGTGATATTCGTGAAAAGCTTAAAGTATTTGTATTGTATTCACTTTCCCATTGAACTGCGATAAGTGATAAATTAGTTCCTTTGTTAGTCAAACAGTCTGTTTGCACTTTATAGTGTTTGAAGTGATAAATGGAGCAATATAATGGCAGTGCTTAATCCCATTGATCCCGCATTGACGTAGGTTTCCGACTTTTAGGGAAAATCAACCTCCTACTGCTTTTAGCTGATCAAAGAAAACTCGAACACAAGGTAAATATTAGCAGTCCAATCAGTTTCGAAAGTAAATAGTTCGAAGAAGATACTATACTATTTCTATAGAATTAGTAGGTTATTTGGGGTCGTTGCTAATCAACTTTTCCTTGCCCTCAACAAAGAAATTGCATTCCCCTGGCAAATAATCTTCCGCAGCGAACCAAAACATTCTGCTGCAGCTTTAAGAAGTCGCCCAACTGTCTGGAAATGCAGATTACGTTCATCCACAGCTCATCCAATTATAGCTCATTCCAAAGGTTCTTCTTGCGGATGTGGCATAGATATTGTGGAGCATACTCCTCATACTATGTGATTGAACTTTTTAATTTGTTTGATATTCTAAGAGTATATGGTTTTTTCTCTAAACTACAATATATATAAACTGTAATTTCTTAGGGAAATGATTTTATACAAAGTTAAATAGAAACAAAAACTTGTATTAAAAAATTAAGCAAATTTTTTTATAATTCCTTTTTTAACAACTTGAAAATGAGAACTGGTTTATGAAATATAAATCACATTGTAATAAGAAACTTATTATTTAAAACTAAAGCTAAGAAAAAATTAAAAATAACTTTTTTAACCTTTATTTTTGTAATTTCAATTTAGTTTTGTTAAGGACTAACAATGTTAGGAACATTTGTCAAAAGGTTAACGAATCGAGAAAATGAAATGAAAATACCTGGTAAATTGCTGCCCTTAACTTTTGTGTAATTTCCCTCACGACATGATTGGTATTTCGAATTGTGTTTGTCGTTTTATCACCACTTTTGTCGAGCTGCGACTACTTTGTAATCATTGCAAGCAAATATCAATCATGTTCAGCCACACATACCCCCCATAAACAGACGTATATACATATACATTAGTATACGTATGTATATACGTGTCAGTATCCACACTGATATTTGCCTTTTGCTGATATAGGCGTCGACATCCCCAAGTTCAGTTCGTAGAATTTGTTCAGTTTTTCTACGAATCCAACTCGGATCGTCTGCCACTTGGTCTCTGTATTTTTATTGTACAGTGGCGTAGTTCTAGGGGGCATTCGGTGCAGCACGGGGGCGAATTGGCTTAAAGCTTGCCATCTGGAAATGACGCAATGTTTTCGAAAACACATCAACACCCGAGTTGCGGGTTGTCGGTTGTCGTTGCCGTTGCCGTTGCCATTGCTGCTAGCTTTTTGTTTTGCTCGTTGCGTTTCGTTTCGCTTGGCAAAAGCAACAGCAGCTACAACAACAGCGATTACAATTGTTAATCTATATAGTATATAATCTCATATACAGACATAATTTTTATACATATACATCAAGTAAACTAATGATAAATTCTAGTCACGTACTAAACAATAAATGGGACTGATTGTTACACTACAAAAAGAAAAAACACTTTTTGTAGTCCCTTACACTATAGAAGTTTAAGAAAAAATGCTGTTTATTAAGTTAAATGCTACATTTTTGAAAATCTATTTATTATAAGGTTTCAGGACGTTTATATAAGTAGATCAATTTTATATTCTTCTTACTTTTCTATCTTGATTTATACAAAAATTATGGATATCAAAAAAGTGCTGCCCTATTTAAAATAGTAAAACTTTCTTAATAGAACGGTGAACGTGAAGAAAACCTTTTTAGATTATAATTTTGACCCATAATTGGTTTCTATTTTAAAATAAATAGCGTCAACAATTTTTTGTTAAAAATATATTTTGTAGCTACTGCCAAAAGCGGACTAATACTTGAGCTTTAATGTTGCTGCTTTTGTTGCTACACTAACTATTGTTGCTGCTGTTTTGGCCATACTGTTATTTACAAGCATTGCTGGTGCTGTTGTTAGCTTTTCCATTTTTTAATGTAGCTTTTTATAAGTTTTGGGTCTACAAAGCCTATTGTTGTTGTCTTGGGCCCATTGTGTTGCTGTTGTTGCTGTTGTTCCTGATGTTGCTCTTGTATCTGATGGTGTTGCTACTGATGTAGCTGTTGACGTTACTGTTCAGCTTTTTAGTACTGCTGCTGTTATTGCTCTTGTTTCCTTTTCAAAATAGAACTGTTTTGCTTTGAAGTCAATGCTTTCGTTTTATTGTACATATTACTATCTGCTTTCGTTAGTACATCTGTTAATAACTCTGTTATTGTCTTGTTTTAGTTAGTGTTTTTTGTTTTTTTTTTTCGATCGTTCGTTGTTGTGGTCGTTGCTGCTGCTCTGGGGGCCCCATGTCAGCAATCAACAGTTTGCCATAAATTATTTTTGCAAAATGCTCACGCTCCAATGCGACCCCAGGGAGTCAGCATACTCAACACACTCAATAATATATATGCTGTACGTATATGCAGGGAATGATAAGCTGCGAAACACATATATATGGTCCCATTGCGATTGTCGCGCAATCGAGCATTGAGCAAGTCCCCGAGCAAACCCCCATCTCCCATCTCCCATCCCCCATTTCCAACCCCAACCCCCTAGCAACCCCATTTTGCAACCCATTGTGCTGTTAGCCTCTAAGAATATCTCTCGCAAGTCGGGAGATAAAGATAATAGTAATAATAATACTAAGGGAAGTCAGTGCCAGAGCCCTGCATTTGTCACTCCAACCAGCATTGAGTAAGGTTGGAAAGTGTTGTAAATCAATTAGGCAAAAGCCTTCGTCGCCAGTTGAAAGTAAGGCAACTAACTGCGTAGTACACACTAAAAAATGTACATATTGTATATATACCTTACCATTTTAACTGTCTCCTACTATACAATTACACTGATATTTACTAAGCTAATAGATAAAAAAAAAACTATCATTTCAAACTAAATTTCGATTAATAAAATAAGTTTGGTGCCGAATATGGTTACTAAATATGACTACAATATAAAAGTTGTAACTTTGCTATTATATAACTGTCACAGAAATCTAAAAAGAGTTAAAATACAATTTTAACTGGAAATCAATATTATTTTATTATTAGAGCAAATGCTGGTTGAAACCTTAAATTATGTATTCAAACTGTTAGCCTATATGGATTTCTAAATATAACTATATACTTAATTGAATATTATTTAATTGAAACTTTTATTTATTAATTTACACTTTTAACTTATTAAAAAAATTGAATTTTGATTTATTTTCATTGGCTTGGTGTTTTGTTTCTGTGTAAAACTCGATAAAAGTGGTAAAGTGGGGGTTATGCACTGCCATTATGATTTATGGCAAAGCCAAATGCACAAATGCTGTTCGATCCGCTTGGGGATTGCATCTTCTGCTCGTAAATAACCCAGCCGGAAAACCCAGAATGGCCAAGAAAACTGGTCAAGAGCTAATTCGTTGCCCTAATGCGACACCAATCAGGTGGGTTGCAGGTGGAAAAAGCTGCCAGTTCTGCCTGGCTGTCCATCTATCTAGATACATTCATAAATAAATCTATTCTCGATAGAGGGAACTAATGGGCAAGTGCAATTTATTACCAAAATGCTGACGTATTTAAGATTTCTTCAGCATTTCGTTTCAATTTCCTTTCCACCGTAATTTATTGGCTGCTATTTTTCCAATTGAGTTGGATCTATTTTGTGAAGTAACCATTTGTATCTATTCGTTTTTCTGATAAGAAATCTTAACTATAAATTAACACAAGTATTACACAGTTACTAATTCTGTAGATAAAAACTTCAGAAAAAACACGTTATTAATATTTATTATTATAGTTAAATAATAAACAAGTTCCAAGACTATTTATGACTATAAAACATTAATAAAGTGATGACAAAAAAACAT